AACAATTTCTTTCTGACACGCTGCTCGGAGGCCCTTGCACTGCAGAAGGCCTTCCCTTCGTTTGCCATCTTGGTTCCATTGGTTGAACATTATAAGATGCAGAGCATGCATTGTATGGGATGCTCAGCTTATATTGTGCTGGGATCTTTCTCCTCTTGTTGTGGTTATTTCAAGCATTAGAAATCTACTTGAGAAGTCACTGTGCTGAGGAAAAAAACAGTAATTTAATCCTTAATTTCTTGCATGAAACTCAAATTAAGGACCGAAGTCTATAGCAAGTTAAGGTTTGTATAACCTCTGGATTAAGTAGGGTGTTAGTTGCTGTTTGGTGCAGAAGTTTAGATTAAAATTCAAGTATTACAGGTCAGATTTCTTACCTTTTCTTCAAAATAATATGCAGTGTAGAATTTTATCCAATAGCTGAAAATAAGAGATGTTAATGAGCTTAAAAAAACCCGAACAAAGCCACAAGAAGCCCCATGTAACATGGTTGTTGTGAAAGTTGTGCATGCACTAAGTAGCATATTCCTACAGAATAGAGCTTTTAACTACTAAAGATCATTTAAGAAGGAAAAATACAAAATTTTAAGCTCTGTCTTCAGTGTTACTGCCGTGTCTGTTTTCTCAGTTCAACAGCTGACACATTCACAGACAGCATCTGGATTGTCTCCATAGCTACCGTGCTGCAGCATGCACCTATCCAGTGGTATGACATTGGTTTGGTTTTAATGCCATTGAATGACATTGGTTTCATTTACTGACAAGCCAAACAAAACTAAATGTTTGAAAAGACCTGGAGCTTAAAAAACATTATCTGCGTACAGATAAACAATACTTAAAATGCAAAGACTGGGCCTGGCTTTACAGCATAATGGCCAGTGGTTTATATGGTCATGAAACCTGACTTTGCTAAGCTTTGTTCGTTACTAATAAGACCAGGTATACATCAAATCCATGCCTCTTCAATTTAGAGAGAAGGGTGACGTGAAGGGCAGTGTCAAATTCTTTGCACAAGTCTAGGTAGATGACACTGATTGCTCTTCCCTTATCGCACAGTGCTGTAGCCCCATCATAGAAGGCCACCAAATTTGTCAGGCAGAGTTTATCTAAATAGACAGTACATTTCCTGTACAAACATTGCTCACGTTGACCATAGGGATCCCTGAGGAGGGAATCTGATTTTATTTAGCCCTGCAAACATGAAACAACGGTAGTATTTTTGTCAGCAGAGGGTTTATGAGCAGGCAACATTGTGTTTGCACAGTATTACTGTTAGGGAAATAATTTGTTTGCTATAGGAAACAGTTATTTTAGTGAGAAGCACTAATTTAACCCAGTGTATTTTTCCAGATAGTCATCTCCATTTGAGTCACTCCTATGGAAGATTTGGTCTGTCATTGCAAAGTATTTGCCTCTCGGATATTATGAGCTTCAGTTTACCGAAGAAGTCATCATCTTAACTGGGAAAAGATAATAAATTGATTTAAACTCTGTTTACAGGAAGTTTACTAAAACAAGTGTATTTGAGACTTTCATGCAGAAGTGAAACATTGTTATTTAGTGGAAAAAACCACAAAGTATACTAATACATGCAGTTAAATGTACTACGCTGTGAGATAGTTCCGCAACATTTTCATCGGCTTCTGCGCATGATATGGTAATGTGTTAAGTAGCTTTGACTGTAGTTGCTGTTTTGAGTCATGTTAATACAAGTGTTTTGGAAGTTGGCTAATGCTGGCAGTTAGATTACAAGTGACTGGAACTATAAACTGAAGCCCACAACTTTATAGTATATGTTATAAATCAGTTTTCAATGGCTGTAATTCTGTGTACGTTTATTTTGTGTCTAGTCCTAGTGTTATCTACAGAGTTTTCCCAGTTTGAGATTGTAGAGACAGATAGGTCTGCTGAACCTGCAAGACAGTTCAGACTCCAGTATTTGGTTCTAACTTGAGATAATAGGAAGGACAATTCTATTGGAATAATTGAGGTGATTATTTTTCTGGTCAAAGTATGTGAATCACTGCTTAGCTATTTTTCTTGTTCAAAATAGATGTTCTTACATCAAAAACGGCAGTTAGTAACCAATCTTTCTTTTCAAAATGGGGGATTATTTTCCTTAGTTATCTGTCCCTGCAGATTGCTGGCATGTGATGTGTTGAAAGATTTTCTTAACATACACTGCCTGCAGCAGTCTATATGCTTGCTGCCTTATAGGTTGACATAAATATGATAGAAAGAAATGACTTTGTCTGTGGGGATGTAGAGATGTGTGATGTGTTAGTCGAATTGCAGGGCTGCTTTCGTTGTGGTTGATCCTGGATCACATCAGTGGGCTGCAGCTGTTCTTAACCCATATTAAATTTTCTCTTAATTTTTTTTTTTTTGTAGCAGACTTAATGTTATGGGAACTCTTCAATAAAGTCATTGTCTTGGGAGGAAAATAACATTATACATCACACTAAAAAATGGCTATTGTCTTTTTGACACCAGTTTACTAGGAATTACTCAAAAGTTGTGAAGTAGTAACATCTGGTTTTATTACTCGATGCGTAGGAAATGCATAGACTCACTCTGATTTTTGTGTCTCATTTGCTTGATTCACATTCTAAGTCCCATGGTTCTTACCACACAGGGTTATGTTTAAACGTATTTAAAGGTATTAACAGGTTCTTTTCAAGTCAACTTGCTAAGCTTTTGCTGGAGCATTATGTAGTTTTGTTCTAGACTGTAAAACTCGTAATGATTCAGTGAGAGCCATGGGTAAAATGCACTTGCAGGTTTTTGTGTGTTCTTTGTACATTACTTAGTCTGGAATAAATACTAGATAATTCTATTGTGAACAAAAACTTTCGAGCATGGAAATAATGAGGCAATGAATAGACAGACCCTCCTGTTGAGGACACTGTATTGTGTGAGTCTCTTGATACTGTCCTAACTAGGATGCTTTTCTCAATAGCTCAAGAGCTATTGAGAGCTAACCTCAATGAAAACACTTCTTTTGTGCTCTCAAGAACTTCCTCCCTCTGCTATGTAATTGTTGTAGTATTTCAGCTCTTAAGTTTTCTTTTAAATTTATAACTGGTTTATACTCAATCTGTTTGCTATACAAAGGATTTTTTTGCCTTTCTGATGTCCAAATTGTATGTAGATTCAATGCCAGAGTACCCCACTTCAAACAGTTCAGTTTAGCTGAATTGTATTAATCAGGAGACACACTGCCCATTAGCAGTGGAAATGGGGAGTTTGGGGGTCCTTTTTTTCTTTCCCTTCTGTGTGAGCAATGTTTAAAGAACAGTGTTTCTGAGCTCACTCTGCCTGTAAGGGGAAGGGTATAATTGTGTGAAAAGTAACCAGAGAGAGATTGTTGCAGTGTGTTGCTACCAGGTGATGGGAAGGACAAGAAGCCAGTCTGTAAGTAGTTCCAAGACAGCACTAGACCTGCTTATGTGTGTTTGTGCAACGTTGTGCCCAAACCAGTCAGTGCTCTAAACTCGGCACATTTGGGAAGCATAGCAATGTGCTGTGCAACTCAGCAGGCTGCATTGGAGCCGGCTTGGATTGGGTTTGTTTATTAGTTCTCTTTTTGTGCCAGACCTAGGCTGCCTTCAGCTGGAGTTGCTCAGTTTTCTCTGTTCTGGGCTTGTTAGTGCTTCCAGTAAAGTGAGTTATATCCATGGAGACTGCGCTTTGTCTCAAGGCAGCTTAGATTGGATTTCTTACCAGCTCCAGCTCTGTGCCATGAGAAAGCTGCTAGATCATTTCCAGCCACAAGTTGTCTCTGGTAGGTGCGTAGATGTATTTATGTAGTTCTGCACCTGAGCTAATAAATCCAACTGGATAATAACAATATTTTTTAAGGAGCCAGCTCAGTGCTGGCTTCATCTTGTCATGAGAAATTTGATAGAAATAGATAGATAGATAATTGGGATCTGATCAAATTGTAATTATCTAAATTTAGATAATTTGAAATCATTGTAATATTACAGCTATAAGTTAGTTGTGTGTTTTCCTTTTTTCTCAACTGGGTAACACCTTTCAACTTCACTAGCATGTGGTTAGACAGCTGCTTCACCTGCTTCCATCCCATTGAGGAAAAATGTCAGCAAATGGGAGGCAGAGTAATGAGTTTTGTATACATGCAGAAGATGTCACCAGAGTGTTTCCCTATCAAGAAAATGCTGATCCAATAAACACGCACTGTACCATTCAGCCATAGCTGTATGCACCAAAGCACAGTACAGGAATGGAAAAGAGCAAGAGAGAAACGCAGCAGATGTGGAAGCATTCTAATAGTAAGACTAGCTCTAGTGGCCTGCTTGTCTTTGTCACCAACAGGTTTCAGCAGATAGTTACAGGCAGCACTGAGGCAGTGTTTTGTTTTTTTTTTGCTGGAGCTTTTTAGTTTCTCAAACATTCAAAAATAACAGGAATTTTTATTAGGAGTCCAATGAGCAGCCATCCTGTCAAAAAAAAAGAGCACAGGTAAATTCATGTATTCCTCTGCTGACAAAAGGCTAAATCAGAAAGGCTAAGTAGAAGATTGCATCACGTAGAGGAGTTAGTGGCATTCGTTAAAGATGTTCTTGGTTTGAAAAGTTGCCTCCAAGTATCATTCCTGTGAGAATGATTAGTAAGTGGATTCTTTGAGAGAGGATTGCAGGATCTGGATAAAGATGACAAGTCAGAGACAGTCTGGCTGTTTCTTCATGCTCACTAGTTCTGTTTCTTCTTCCCGTATTTAACTTTTGGTTTATGACTTTGTGCAGTAGAAATTCCAGGAAAGTTGAGAGAAAAACTGCTGACGTTGAATTTTTGTGTGACTCAGTGTCACTCTCTATAAAGAATAAAAAAGTATGGCAGAAACTATCATACTGACCTCTCTCCTTCCCCCCCCCCCCCCTTATTTTTTATTTGGCTGTGATGATGTAAAATAATGACAGTGTTTCCTCATAACTATGCCTATATTTTTGATTGTCCCAATCTTGATATTTCTTTAGGTTGTGGAGAGCACCTTGTCCGAACCATACTGGCCAGAGAATGTTCATGTGCTTTGCAAACAGAAGATGCCCACCAAGCTCTCCTAGAGACTATGCAAAACAAGTTTATTGGTAAGTATGAAGTATGTGATGCTAATTGCCTAACCATTGCGTAAAATGGTTTAAAATGCAATTAAGCCTATGAAATAAAAATTTAGAAACTTATTATTGTGATTTCTGTTGAAGCCTTATGTTGCAGTTGGCTTCAGATTCATGTTGTGTTACATCTGAAAAATGTTAAATCAAACTACAGAAGAATATTTTGGGAAATCTAAAGGAAAACCCTTGGAAATATCTCAATTGTTATGTGAGTCACAGAATACCCGGAGAGGTTTGAAGAAAGAATTTCCTGCCTGAATCACTGCCTGTGGTGTACAATTGCATATTTTAGAATTCGTGGTTTAGGAACATTAATACAAATTATCCGTCATGTTAACCCTTTTAAATATAATAAACCTCGAAACCACTGCATGTTTTAATTAAATGCTTTGGACAAACAGATTCTGTTTTGCTATTTACACGATGAAATTTATTTCTTGAGAAAGTGATGTAGACTTCATTTAATTCTACACCTGGGTCAGAGGAATCCCAGGCACAGCTACAGGTTGGGCAGAGAAGAGATTCAGAGCAGCCCTGCGGAGAAGGACTTGGGGGTGTTGGTTGATGAGAAAATGATCATGGCCAGGCAGTGTGCTCTTGCAGCCCAGAAAGCCAACCGTATCCTGGGCTGCATCAAAAGGAGCGTGACCAGCAGGTCGAAGGAGGTGATCCTGCCCCTCTACTCTGCTCTTGTGAGACCTCACCTGGAGCATTGTGTGCAGTTCTGGTGTCCTCAACATAAAAAGGACATGGAACTGTTGGAACAAGTCCAGAGGAGGCCACGAGGATGATCAGGGGACTGGAGCACCTCCTGTATGAAGACAGGCTGAGGAAGTTGGGGCTGTTCAGCCTGGAGAAGAGAAGGCTGCGTGGAGACCTCACAGCAGCCTTCCAGTATCTGAAGGGGAGCTATAGGGATGCTGGAGAGGGACTCTTCATTAGTGTCTGTAGTGATAGGACAAGGGTAATGGGTTAAAACTTAAACAGGGGAAGTTTAGATTGGATATAAGGAGGAAATTCTTTCCTGTTAGGGTGGTGAGGCACTGGAATGGGTTGCCCAGGGAGGTTGTGAATGCTCCATCCCTGGAGGTGTTCAAGGCCAGGTTGGACAGAGCCTTGAGTGACATGGTTTAGTGTGAGGTGTCCCTGCGCATGGCAGGGGGGTTGGAACTGAATGATCTTAAGGTCCTTTCCAACCCTAACTATTCTATGATTCTGTTGTAAGGTAAACCCATTTTTTCTGAATGATTCAATAGGATTACATGTGACTACATATACATGTTTAATTTCTTGTGGCTGTAGATCTTGTTTTCTTTCTTCAAGTCATATGGGTTTTTAAACTGTTTATATAAACTTGAAGTTTTTAAGATAACAAAAGATTCCAGTGAGGCTTCTGGCATATATGTTGGCTTGCTCTGTCTTTAAAATTTTTGAAGCTTTACAATCCACAGAAAATTTTGACCTTCAGAATTCCTTGTGGACAACATAAGACTTCTTGTACACTGTGTTGCTGAAGTTAATGTTTATGGTATTTTAATTGGAACTAAAAGAGGTACATATGCATACCTTTATGGGACACAGGACCCTTGGTCTTGTCAAGCAATGCATTGTAATTTCTTGATTTCTTTTTACAATGTTGAATCATATGAATCTCTGCTTCTGACAACATTACATTTGTCTGTTTGGGCGGAAGTCATCTTCACATTGGAAGGCTACACTTAATCATTTCCTACTGGATTGCACTCATTTCTAGGTGCTGTAAGAATGCAGAATAAGGTAGTCCCAGTATGCTCCCCAAAGAGATTATGATCAAAGCAACACAAATGTAGCTTTTTTGTATTTAATCATTTATTCCTGTATGAAGATAGGCTGAGAAAGTTGGGGCTGTTCAGCCTGGAGAAGGCTGCGTGGAGACCTCATAGCAGCCTTCCAGTATCTGAAGGGGGGCTATAGGGATGCTGGAGAGGGACAATTCATTAGGGACTGCAGTGATAGGACAAGGGGCTAATGAGTTCAAACTTAAACAGGGGAAGTTTAGATTGGATATAAGGAAGAAATTCTTTCCTGTTAGGGTGGTGAGGCACTGGAATGGGTTTCCCAGAGCGGTTGTGAATGCTCCATCCCTGGAGGTGTTCAAGGCCGGGTTGAACAGAGCCTTGGGTGACATAGTTTAGTGTGAGGTGTCCCTGGCCATGGCAAGGGGGTTAGAGCTGGATGATCTTAAGGTCCTTTGCAACCCTAACTATTCTGTGATTCTATGATTCCAGTGCATTGAGTCACAAAATTTGCGATTTATTTACCCAAAGCAAGCCTTTAGGGAGGATGCTTGCAGTAGCTTCTCTAATTTGTAGCACTACCCTGAAAGTGCTGTATAGAAGTGACCTAACTTCAGGAAAGTCACAGCTGTAGTCCATACTCTCAAAATTTATTGTGCTAGGAGTACTGAAAGCAGGCACAAATTGTACATATCTTTGTGCAGTTTCATATCAGTGCATGCACACACACAAAGTAGAAAGCTACTGCCAAGTAATTCATAGAAACCGTCTGATAAAAGACCAAAAAATGCAGGAATTTCTTTAGTTGACATACCCATGTTAAGTTGCTTTGAGTTTTCTGGGTGTTGTTTTTCCTCTTTGGTAACTGCTAGCAGAAACACAATTCTTCTCTTGCTGTTTAGTCCAAATGTATTTTGCCACCAGTTTGCATAGCAGGTGTTTTTATTTTAAATGATAACTTGCTAGTCTATGATACATGCATTGTATTCTTTACAGAAAATGTGGAAGTATTTGTATTGGGCTTAAAAACATAGTTAATATTGCTAAAGCTTGTTTCATACCTGAAATTATCAGTTGCAGAGAGAGCTGCGCAGACAGAGATAGCAGCCTAGCAGTGACATCATTGCTTTGGGAAAACAGTTTAAAACCAAGAAAACCCAAGGGAAGGTGAATAGAATGAGAAACAGGGCCCAAGTAATGCTTTACATGGTAGGAAAATGTGAAAAAAAAAAAAAAAGGCTTATAATTCCTTTTTAAAGCTTCATGTTTTAGTTAGGGATAGGTCTGTCTTGTATTTTCACAAACTTACCAGTGAAACTTTGTGTTGCCTGACAACAGCTACGTGTGTTATCTCCTCATTTGTACTTTGGGGCAGTGCTGACATGGGAAAAAAGCAGTAAAGCCACCTCTTTGTGTGTGTGCAGGTGAAGTGCTTGGATTCTGTATTTGGTGAGAAAGGATAGAATCTAGAATGAAGACTGATTGAGGAAAACCTCAAAACCCAGAAACAACTTGCTGTTGACCAGTGGCATAGTACCAAGTTTGTAGCTAGTAGCGTAATTTAAGACATCTTGGCAATTCTGCAGGTGGAATGTAAAGTTATGTCTTGCTACTGTAGCACAACAGTTGAAAACATAACTTAAACATACACTTAAAACAAAAGGCTTGTATTAAATAGGGGGTTTTCCTGTGAATTTTCATAGATGATGTGCTAGTTGATATCTCAGGATGTTTGGCATGATGCAGTGTTTCTTACTGTTGTGAAGCAATAGGGTACTGGGGCTACCAGACTACTTGCTGCTGGCATGGATTCTTTCCTTGCTAGCCTTTCTTTAAGCCCTATTTTGTGGGCTTCTCAAACTTTGCCAGAATTATAATAGAACAAGGCCAACAAATACTCCTTTCAAATAGCAGATCTAGAAGGTTTTGTCAGAAGTCAAAATGAGCGTTCCTTGTATTGGAGGGGTGAACAGCTGATTTTGGCAGTTGCCATCAGATCACTGCTTCCTGTTTACAGAGCTCTTCGAGTTCTCTGCAGAGCCCTGGGAATCCTTCCAGCTAGGGAATGCCTGGCTTAAACAGTGAGTGCTGTTTAAACAGCAGGTGATGAGCAAACTAATGGCAGATGTGCTTCACTCATCTTTTCTCAGAGCCAGCTTACTATGGATAATGTACAATTGGTGGTTGAATCGGAGGTGAGAGAAATGAAATTCAGATTTATTTGTAGATCCAGTGGGCTTGGTATCTTTAGTTGAAGAGCATTGAAGGCTTGGTACGCAGTTGAAGAGTGGTGTTCTGTAGTCACAAATACCTTCCAAACAGAAGAAGAGAGGGTTTTGTTACTCATCATTCCTTTCAAATGTGGCCAAGTTTGTGGAATGTAGACTTAAAGTAAATGTTTGTGTCATCTCACTGGCAGGAAATCTGGGTTTTAACAATGGCAATCTTTTGAATTGTACTTTTAAAGCTCCTTATAATGTATTAGAAATTAATAAGCTGAAAGACAGTTGGAATCTGGTATTTGTTCTTCCCTTACCGGGAATATATTTGCCTATTCCTGTATTTTTAAGTTGTGCTTCAGTTCACAAATGAGTAGTGTCTGCAGAAGGATAATGCTGACACATTCTCTGTTAGGAATTTTATGTCGGATACCCCTCCTGGGAGCAGGGGTCTGGACAATTAGGGGTGAGAGGATATGAATTTCCCCGTTACAAGTTACGCTTCTTGAGGGGAGAAAAAGCCTCAAAACAGTTACAAGACTGCCAGTGACTGTCATTGCACGGTGTTATTGTTACGTTATATTCAGGTGCTGTATCACTCTAAACTTTGCAGTATCATTCATGATTTTGTAACAAAGTGATCATGCTATGGAAGCATTATTGTGTCTTCTAAGTGACACAGAGGAAAAGATTTGAGCAGAGGGTGATCCTGAAGTTTCAGATAATCTGTTTTATCCACTGCAAGTTTATGATTTCACAAGTTTATGTTTGAGAGTGGACAAAGATGAATAGGCAGCCTCTTTGTTATCGGTGCGAGAAAACCAGCTGGAAAAACTAACACAACATGGTGATGCTACGTGAGGGCTTGTCTGAGTCCTGCCTGTGCTTCTCCTTGTCAAAAGCATTGGGATTTTACTGGACAGTGGTACCCTTAGTTGCCTAACTTCTTAAAATCTGTGAAGTTTGACAGCACAGGTGC